TCTGCTGCTGTTTCTATTTTAGAATCACACACTGTCACCTCAGACTGTACTGTCTTTAACACCCTCAGCAGTACAGTATATAACCTCATACTACACTATTTAAATTATAGTATAAAGACCTGGTCTTTATACTATAATTTAAATTGCAGAAGCGCTTCTTGGTCACACATTTTAAAGTTGTTTAAGTTCAAGTCATCAGGTCGTCGCTGCCTTATGTCCTGCTTTGGTGTGAAATTCCTTACGTGTCATTTTAAAGACTCGCTGTGTGAAACAGATGTAGTCAGTAACACTTTACTGGTCTTTCCGGCAGTGTAAAAAAAAAGGGAAGAAAATTGGACACGTTTTCAAATTTGTAAAAAAAAACAAAAGCAATATAATAAATACCAAGCACAGAAAATAAAATGAGGTGATGGCAACAGCTGTGGCTCCTTTTCCTTCCTTTAAATCCTTGAAGTTAATCTGCGTGCTCAGTCATCCACCGGCCTTTCTGTTCCTAAACACTTTGATGTTAGTAGCCTAGCCTGTTGGATACGGTGGAGACGCAACGCAGAAGTACAAAGTGGCTTAAAGACCATGTTAAAACTTACTTGAGCCTTGAACCTGTTGCCAGACTACAGCAAAGAGCCATCTGGCTATACGCTGCATTTGCCAGTCAAATAGTGTCCACAGATAAAAACTTTCCAGAGTTATAAAATCCTTTGTATTGTACTCCTCTGTGCAGTGTAATGTCTGACAAGCCTTCAGACTCTTACTCTAAATGCCTTCCTCGATCAGATTTCATGACTTGCTGGCTTAACATGCCTCCACCAAACTGCCCCCTGTTGTCTGCTAAGAGTCTTCAGCCATGCTAGCAGCTCTGTGGGGTCATAATGCGCTTTACAACTATGCTAACATGCTGATGTTTAACACATTAACGTGTTGACCTAATGATGGCACTAGATGAAAGGTCAGAGGATCACCAAAGTTATCACAGTTCATCGTGAGTGGAACATGAAGGTCTGAACCACGTTTCATCACAATCCATCCAACAGCTGATAAGATGTTTCAGTCTGGAGGAAAGTGTTGGACCAACAGACAGTCGTGGTTTTCCTTAGAGCTACGCTACTAGCATTTCTAAAAAGTAAAGGAGCAGCATACTGTTGCTTTCTATTCTGTTTTTCCTCCTGAGAGTGGGCACGAGAGGAAATGCTATGAGATCCTTAAAGCTCTATTGAGCCAGGTATTCCCATACCTCTCAGTAGTAACCGCTCCATGAGCTTCTTTAATTAAAAAGTAACTATTAGAAACAAAAAAATTTTTTTTTTCTTTGGCTCTGTTGGTGCTGCCTGTCTGTATGTAATCACCACTCTGTTGTATTGCTGTATCTGACTGGTTACAAGTTGGGAATAATAGCGAGACATTTGCTCTGTTTCGTTCCTTTGACCTAATCTTGTATATGATTCAGGAGGAATGGGTAGTATAAGGGAGTAATCCGTTCATTTTCATGCATACGTATAATTGGTCTTGGACTCTTACATTCACTCGTCACACGGCAGCTGCATGGGCTCTGTCAGCACAGGAAACTAATTTTGAGTCGTTTATTTGTCATGTGACAGCTCCTACTGTGGAGCAGGGATGAACTATTCGCTCACATGAGTCTTGTTCATTCGGCAGGCGGAGAATGAGAGGCAAGTCAGTTGTCAGGTAAGAGTCACTGGACTGACATATCAATTTTGTTAATTATGTGACATTTAATAAAGCATAGCGTTATTACAGCGCAGTGATTTTGTGCGATATAACACAACTGTACCCTAACTTTAGACCTGCTAGTGTTTACAGCTAACAGCTGATGAGAGTTGGGCTGCATCCGAAAAGTCAAACAAATCTCCTTTCCTAACTACTTTTCCTTGACCTCGATGGAAAACATCATGAGGTCAAGGAAAGATGTGAAGGATAATCCATAAGGACTTATGAAAAGAGGACGGCGGGTCTTAGAGAATCCGACTGCTCTTTTCTAAGCAACGGTGGATGTTACTGACGTGACCTGCCGTGATGAAACTACAATGTTCTGAAGATGACACTGTGCCCTGTGTTGTTTTAATGCAGGCCATCTGAAGGTGGACACCACAGTGAAATATTAGGCCTACTTCATAACCAAGATAGCAAAAAGGCAGATAGGGTAGCCTACCAGTCACCAAATAATGGACAGGGTTGTCACATTGAGAATGCTTGCTCACACTCACCCTCCTGCCCACATTAATCAACATCCCACTTATTGTATGTAAACACAGTGTAAACCACAGAATGACAAAGAAAGGAGGTGCTGAGTGAATATAGGCTGTGCGCTGCGCGGAGCTCTGCGATCAAATACGAATTTACCCACTTTAAATAGTGCCTAACAAAAATCAGCGTTGATAATGTGGCAGGCCGACACAAATAAATCAGTGTGTGGGAAACGCCTACTGAAGAGGTTATCCAGCTTGATCTTTGTCTTTATTAAGGCGAGGGTGTCAGCATCTGTGACTGAAGTAAAATTAATTTGCTGAAGGCTGCAGCATTATCCTCACTTTGATCACTGGTAACAGCTCGCATGGGTCTTAGTTATTGTTGACAGTTTCACAATCAGAATTGAAATCAGAAATACTTTATTGATCCCCGAGGGGGAATTCTGTGATATGTGTTTAAGATATGCATATTAGCAAGTTATGGCATAAGAGAGAAAAGGCTTAGGCTACTAGCCAATGGTAACTTACATGGTGATCAAAATCCTTATCCTTCATGGTCGGTGATTCAAAAAAAAAGATTTATTGTAGAAAACACTTATTTCAACAATACAAAACATACAGCAAAGCCAAAAGAAAACAAACGAAAAGAAAGAAGGTAGGCTAAGTGTGTGTCTTATAGCCTACCATAATGTACGTCTGTGCTGGAAGGATTTTGCTAAATGTGGTCAGTGGATTTTATCATTTGAGTTTGAGAACGTGCGTCGCTTTAAATGTTTCCGCCACAAGGAATTGTGGGACGGCATTCTCTCCTTTCCTTTCATAAAGGATGGTCAGGTGTACCCTATGCTAAAGGAGATATGAAAGGAAGCATTGAAGCACCTTTCCTTAGCTTTTAGAGAATTTGAACAGCTCTTATCGTGACTGCCACTGAATTACTTCCGGGTCACTTCACTCGGTTAGGAACCTTCCTAAGCAAAAAACTTTTTGAACGCAGTCTTGTTCTGGGTCCGCTCAACTTTAGTGCCCTGACAGGGTTCTACCGGGAGCCGAATTACTTCCGAGGTCGTCTCCTCTCCAAAACAAACAGACCCGGTCATTAAAACATTAAAACACAGCCACATAGCAATGCTAGCGTCAGCCCTGTGGTGTGTTTACAACTAACAGCTGATCCAGGTCCGCCAGAGAACGCAATGTAACTTTTCCTTTTTATTTATCAACAGAGCCGTGCTGTTGTTTCACAGCCCTTGACTGGTGAACAACATGGCAATGTTTAAGAGCGATGTGCTCATGTTTGTTTCTATCCAGATTATTATTAGATTGGTTGAATTTAAGTTTTTGAATTTTTTATATGTATTCATCTAGTGTGTCAAGCTTATTACTTCTATATATTCCCAGCAAATCTGATGTTAATATATAGATTTTACTCATGGATGGGGAAGTTAGGCTACTGTTCTCTCCGGGTGCTCTGGCTTCCTCCCACCATCCAAAGACATGTGGCCTAGGTTAATTGGTGACCCTAAATTGTCCTTAGGTGTGAGTGTATCTGGTTGTTTGTCTTTGTGTGGCCCTGCGATGGATTGGGGAGCTGTCCAGGGTGTACCCCGTCTTTGGCCTGATGTCAGCTGGGATTAGATCCAGCCCCCGCGACCCTGTACACAGGATAAGCGGTTGACGATGGATGGATGGACTTTGTCAATTAAAGCACACCAGGTAGCATTCCCTGTTTGAGAACTGCTCTGTTTTTTTACATGCCCACTAGAGGGCTGCAGCGCCGCAATAACCAGCCTAGTTAAAATTAATGAAATGACTCAAAAAAAGATTAGTTAGATTCGAGTCTGTCAAAAGAGTCACTTTTACCATCACTAATCTCAGTCTACTTCTATGATGACAAGCAGCCCAGTGTCTGTGTTACACCAGTGAACATGCCTGAACACACAGCCACAGGGTTTCACTCAATGACACTCCTGAAAGTGAGGGCTTTTAAAATCAGTCGCTCTCGCCTTACCCACTCACTGCATCTCAGACTTAAACACAGCTTGCATCTGTCTTCTGCGTTTTCACTGCAACTCCGCATCGTGATGTAACGTTACATTGAATTATTTCATCAAACAAACATCAGCTGAAGTGCTGAAAACACACAAACAACATGCTGTCAAACAATGATTGTTGTTTATTAGCGAGCAACACGGCAGCATTGATTTAATTTAGTGTTCTCTGCAGACGCCTTGACATTATTTCTTAACCTCAGACAGTCAAGAGTTTATCAGATGGTCATTGCTGGACATCCAGCAGATG